AACTCAACAGCACAGCAGATGAGGATTGTTCTCTTTATGTTCCTTCAGACAGCCTTCCTGTACTTGGTGCCTTCTAGATTTGTTGGTCTCTGCAACTGTCATCATTCCCATGCTGGCTAAGATTTAAAGAAGCTGCAGTCTAACACATCAGGATAGGCCCAAGCTGAAAAAACAACAACTGGCATGGGGGAAACAGAATGACTTGCCCGAAAACACTTAAAGGCTTCATGGCAAAGGCAAAATTTCAGCTTTGGGCTTCTTGATTTGTAGATCTGTCTCAGGCAATGCAGTTGAATCCTATGTATGTTTTACTCAGAAGTAAGTCCCATTGTGTTGAATCCACTTGGAATTAACTTATGTATAAGATTCTAATCATATCCTCATTCTGATGCCTGACAGTTCCCTGTAACATAATTCTGGCTGTGTCTAAAATATTACATTTAGAAGAACTTTTTCCAGCTACTGTAAAGAAGTAAAATTGGTAGAGAAGGTAGAGGCAAGCCTTGAGGTCACCTGCTAAGCGTGGCAAGAGAGCAGAGGGTTAAACCGAGTTTTCGTGCTCTTAGCTGAGCACTCCAACCAACACACCATGGATTCCTTTCTCTTGCTATCTGTGCAAAAATAGGTATCCTAGTGAGCTTTAAAAAAAACTCCAACAAAACCCTGCTAGTTTAAAAAAGTTAGTGGAAATGCTCTTGTGGTTGGCATCTTTCAGAAGGTTGACTTTGGCAGGTGGAGGATAGCTGCTCAGCTGTTTTATAGCAGTCTTGAAATAAAAAACACCAATAAAAAGTATATGTGGCAGGTAGCTCTTCAGATCTTATTTGGGTCCTGACTTTTATAGTGAAAGCTTTCAGTGAAATGGAGCAATCTGAATGTCGGATATCCCATTCAAGCTGCATTTTATGGGATCAACCTTGTGTTGTGAAATATGAAACTGCCTGTGCTTTTCCCCCTTTGGTTATGGGCACACCCACTGGGTGAAACTAGGCTGTCGAAAGCTTCTGCTCATACGCCCTTGTTAATTTATGCGACTGGTTCATCAAGCAGTATTGCCTGCTCAGTTGTTAGGAGCTTTTGTAATCTTGTCCTGCTCTTCCTGGCAACCTTTCCAAGCCTCTTGTGTGCCTCCCTGTTTGGCAACTTTTTGTGGTTGATGCAGTGTTGCGGTGAATAATATTATGATCAGGGGGTGCAGGATGCAGATGTTTCCTAGGCTCTCTTATGGTGCTAAAGGTTCAGAGGAGTTCGTGGGCCCAGCTATACCTTCAGCAGAAACCAGTGTTAAACTCCACAATTTCAGGTTGTAGGAGTGAAGGTTCATATAGTCCAGGGGTGGGCAATTAATTTCTATAGGGGGGCCACATGAAAAATCTGAACTGTGTTTGGCGGCCGAACAAACTTTACTTAAAAATAAAATGAAACGGTGATGTTATGATTGTTTTTATTTTAAACTTGGTAATCTTCACAAATAGTAAAGAGGTTTTTTGCAGTATGTTAAAGATAAGCAACTGATCAACTTTAGACAAAAAGCTATAAATGCTTTTGATGTTCAAAACTGTCCGCGGGCCGGACAGGAGTGGCTCGTGGGTCATATGTGGCCGTCGGACCGCACTTTGCCCAGGTCTGATATAGTCCCTTAGGAAAAAGGTTCTCTGAACTGTCACAAATTTACATATTAGATGAATGAGGTCAGTTTGGCTTTCACTTCATGAAAGTTTGCTGTAGGGCTGGTCCCTACCACACCTCCACTGACAGGGTATTCACCAAACCACCCTCCTCCATCTACAGCCTGTAATGTATATTCCAGGCAAAGCACTACCTCTTGGTTATGCTGATTGTAGATGATGGCAGTCTTGAACAAAGACAGATGCAATAGGAGGTGAATGAGATTGAGGCAAAATGGTTAATTGGTATAAGATGGTTGATGGTTAAAGGTATAAGAGTGTTGGCTTGAGTATGGGAAAGCTTACTTCAATAGTGGACAACAGAAGACCAGTTGTTTCCTACCTTGGGTCCCCAGATGTCCTTAGACTAATTGTAGATGATGGCAGTCTTGAACAAAGACAGATGCAATAGGAGGTGAATGAGATTGAGGCAAAATGGTTAATTGGTATAAGATGGTTGATGGTTAAAGGTATAAGAGTGTTGGCTTGAGTATGGGAAAGCTTACTTCAATAGTGGACAACAGAAGACCAGTTGTTTCCTACCTTGGGTCCCCAGATGTCCTTAGACTAAAACTTCCAGATAGAAGACCAGTTGTTTCCCACCTTGGGTCCCCAGATGTCCTTAGATTAAAACTTCTAGAAGCCTTCACCACTAGCTGTGCTGACCAGGATTTCTGGGAGTTGTAGTCCAAGAACATTACCATCCCGCATTGGCTGTCCCAGCTGGACTACTGGGAGTTGTAAGCCAAAAACTTCTAAAGGACCACAGATGTTCAAGTGCATTTTCGTGAGATCTACGTGTGAAAGACAGAGAAAATGAGAGAGAAAGATCCTGATTGTTTATTGCAGTGTAGTAGACTCAAGTTTAGGTGTCTTGAGAGAGTTGACGGTGATGGCATGTTTCATGTTGAATGGCTGACTGTGGTGGCTTGTGACCCAAGCAGAGGGTGCCTCATCCCCAGAATTTCAAGGTGAGCTCCCATCTCCTCATCCAGGCAGTGCGCCATATCTCTAAGCTGAAGCGAACAAAAGAGATTTGGAGGATAGGTGCAAGAGCGGTAACTGGGATGGCAGGGAGACATTCTGAGAATTTCACTTTGGGATGTTGCCAACTTGGCAGCGTCCAAGGCGTTTGTCACACCCCTTCTCTCCGACACCAGTATTTCACTTGGCATCGTCCAAGGCTTTTGTCACACCCCTTCTCTCCGACACCAGTGCTACAACGAATGGGATACATTTATTTTCTGCAATAATCTTCACTTATTTCCTCTCTTCACTTTCACTGCCACAAATTTTTATCTGCCCCTGTGAGTTTGTGTGTATCTACCCCTTCACCAAGGCCCCTATAACATCCTTCATTCAGCCAGCTCGGCATCGTCCAAGGCTTTTGTCACACCCCTTCTCTCCGACACCAGTGCTACAACGAATGGGATACATTTATTTTCTGCAATAATCTTCACTTATTTCCTCTCTTCACTTTCACTGCCACAAATTTTTATCTGCCCCTGTGAGTTTGTGTGTATCTACCCCTTCACCAAGGCCCCTATAACATCCTTCATTCAGCCAGCTCTCCAGAGATTGGACTGATCATTAGAGATGGGCATGAACTGCCAAACTGGTGGTTCAGGCCAGTTCGTTTAGCAACCGAGCAAGTGTTTGGAGCTTCTGAGCACTCATAGGATTCCCGGCCCCGCCTCCTCCAGGCACTGCCTCTGAGTAAGTGTTTGGCGCTTCTGAGCACTCATAGGAAGCCCCCTGGCTTCCCTGCCCCGCCTCCTCCAGGCGCTGCCTCTGAGAGGGCGCCTGCCAGAGGAGGTAGGGCTGGGAAGCAGCAAACACCTGTTCAAGTACAAACTGACACAAACCACTGAAATAGTGGATCCTGCCCATCTCTACTTAGCACCACTCAGTTTGAAAAGAACAAATAAAGTTCTGTTAAAATAACAGTGTTTAGAAAATGTTGTTTACTCCTAGACTTTCAATTCATTCAGCACAATCCTTCCCTCTGTCTCCTACCTCTTGCCCTATCTCTCGAGTTGTTCTCTCTCACTTCTATCTTGGATCTCAAACTTCCCAACCCCATATTTCTATACCGGACTCATTCACACACTCCCTCCTTAACTAGTTCCTTTACCAGCCAGTCAGAACCATTCTTATGAACATCTCGTGCTTCTCTCTCAACCTCTTTGTGTATTTACCAGACTGATGTATTTCAAACAATACAGACACCACCACAATACATTTAAATATAACTAGGCATCATAGCCTTTCTCTCTACATCTTATCTTTTTTACCTCAAATACATCCTTGTTTCATTCTCTCCCTCATATCTTAGAGTGAAAGCCAGACTGCCCTCAAGAGAGACAGCTAACCCCACTGTCTTAAGTGCAGGGGAAACAAAAGAAAAGGAACTGGTACATCCATGGAAGTCCAGATTATAAATGAGAGACGAAGTCTCAGGATGTAGAAAATAGAATCAAGTTCTTTATTCTGTATTCTTTAAATAGGTAGTTAAAAAGTGCGGACTCAACATGTTCCAGTGAAGTCTTCAGGAGCAAGCTTCTTTATACTCTCTGTACCTTTCTATGGTATATACCAACTCCAAAACTGATTGGCGAATCATGGAGTTGGGTGCGACATTGGACATAGTCTAGGCCACACCTGTTACAACTATTTATGAAGTATGAAAGCTATGGCAGGTTTATGCCCATTATGCAGATAAGCACTTTTTATTTTTTATTTTTATTTTATTTATATCCCGCCTATCTAGTCGGTTGACCACTCTAGGCGGCTCACAACAAAGGGGACAGCAATAATAAAAACCATTTTACAAAGAGAGAACTTTCAACAATTTTAAAGGAAGCCCAGCTCTTTAACAGTACGGGACAGTACATCATACAAGAGTCTTATCTTTTGCATATGTAGTGTTAACATGTCCTGCTCTGAACACAAAGTAAGAGACTAGAGGAATTATATCTGGCTGGATAGCTCAGTGAACTGGTCTGCAGAGGGATTCAGTTTCCTACTATGCTTCCATGTCAACTGCAGTTGGCTGGATAGCTCAGTGGTTTAGATATCTGGCTGGAGAGCCAGAGTTTGGGAATTCCATTCCCCACTGTGTCTTCTGTGAGTAGAGCCAGCCTGTGTGGCCTTGGGCAAGCTACATAGTCCCAGGATGCTCCCAGAAGAAGGGAAGGGTCAACCACATCTGAGTATTCACTACCTGGAAAGGGTTTGAAGGGTTGACTGGACAGCACACAATTATTATTCTTAGAGGAATTATATGCTTCATCTGATAAGACAGTCATATGTATAAAATGTTCTTTTTTGCAGTCTTGCTTTTAATGGAGATGTTGAGGGACTAAGAGCGTGGCATCTGGCTGGTGTGGATATGAACCAACCGGCTTATGATGGGAGTAATCCATCTAATGTGGTAAGTGTGACTACTATCGTATGTCAGATGGAGCTCTGGTTCAATAGAAGCATTGCATTTCGGAACACTATATCTACCCAAAGGTAAATTTCCACGACAACTCATTTTCTAGAAGGGCTTTTTCAGATACTATAGTGAAAAACAGAGAGGCCCTTTGTGGCTTTGGAGGAACTAAAACTCAGTCAGAGTCACTCTTCTTTTTTCATTTGTTGGATACCCTGCTTTTCTTCCAGTGCAGGACCCCACCGCCACTGCCCTCAAAAATGTAGGGGGTGCGTGAATCCCAAGCCATGTGAGGCTATTTCAGTCCTCATGCCGATGTTTCAAAGACCCTAGAACATGAGTGGTGAACCTCTGACATTCTAATGTTATTGTTGTTGTTTTTAACCACAACTTCCATAAGCCTTTTATGATGGCAGCATAGGCTGGGAATTCTGGAGGTTATCGTTCAAAAAATCTGGATTGACAAAGGTTCACCACTCATGTCCTAGAGAAAAAATAGAATGACTTAGGAATGTTGTAGATACCCAGTGTGGTGTAGTGAATACAGTGACAGACTAGGGTTCTGAAGACTTGAATTCGAATCCTTGCTCAGCCATGAAAAGTCACTAGGTTGTGGAACTGGTAAATATCTCACTTATCTTGACAGCCCTATTAGGATTGCTATAAGTCAGTTTCAGCTTGATGGCACATAATAACAAGATCCCTTTTTAGGTGAAGCAGAGCCTCCCTTGAAGAGTGAGGTGTATATGTTAGTGCCTGTGTTTTGAGAACAATATGATTTGATATGTGCACAATTGTGTCTATGTATATACCGTATTTTTCGCTCCATAAGACGCACCTTGCCATAAGACGCACCGATTTTTTAGGAGAAGAAACCAGGAAAATATAATCTGTTTTCTTCACTCCATAAGATGCACAGACTTTCCACCACCCTGTTTTGTGGGGAAAAAGTGAGTCTTATGGTGCACGATTGTGTCTATGTATATATGTTGAACATGTACATATGCAACTACAGTGGGGACTTGACTTGAGAACTTAATCCGTATTGGAAGGCGGTTCTCAAGTCAAAACGTCTGTAAGTCAAGTCTCCATTGACCTACAGTGCATTGAAAACTGATTAATCCTGTAACAGGCCGTTTTTGTTCCATTTTGGTTTTTTTCTGGTCTGTAAGTCAAATCTCAGTCTGCAAGTCAAACCTAAATTTTGTGGCCAGAGAAGTCTGTAACTCAAAAAGTCTGTAAGTCAAGCCGTCTGTAAGTCAAGGGTCCACTGTATGTATAAATCATACAATGGCATTAATTGTTACTCCAATATTTTTATAGGCCAGGACTGCAGGACACACAAAAGTTGTGGAATTTTTCAGTCAGTTGGGACTCTAATACGGTAAGGCTTTTTCAGAAGGGGTTTTTCCTGGACTGTGTATGTTATCATCCCTTGCATATGCAACAGTTGAAAATTACTTATACTGGCATTGTACTCTTCTGGATTCAATTCATGGTTTTGCCGTTGACTTCCAAGGAACCTTTAAGCAAATAGGTAAAGGTAAAGGTTCCCCTTGACATTCTTAAGCCAGTCGTTCATCTGAGTTGGGCATGAAACTCAACCTTAAAGAATACACCCTGCCTTGAACAACATTTTTAAAAGGAGAACTAAGAAACTTGAGGAGCTGCCTTCTTCTTCTGGGTCAGGCCATTGGCTCATCCAACCCAATAGCATCAGCGCTGAGCAGCAGCAGCAGCTGTCCAGTTTTTTAGGCAGGATTCTCCTTTCTAACCATAACCAAAGACCTCTAGTATTCATTGGTGGTCTCCCATTTGAGTATTAATCAAGCGCAATTCAGAGTGCTGGTCTTTAGCCTATAAAGTCCTAAATGGCTTGCGTCCAAGCTAAAGGACCACATCCCCCTTTATCACTCTTCCTGAGTGTTAAGCCGCCTAGAGTGGTCTTAACCGACCACCCTACATGGCTTGCGTCCAGGCTAAAGGACCACATCTCCCTTTATCACTCTTCCTGAGTGTTAAGACCATCAGGAGAGGCCTTTCTCTTGGTTCCACCACCTCCGCAGGTGCATTTGATGGGGACAAGGGAGAGGGCCTTCTCTGTCTGCAGGTGCATTTGGTGGGGACAAGGAACAGGGCCTCCTCTGTTACTGCTCCTAGCATCTCTCTTCCATGGCAGAACAGCCTGGCCCCGTCCTTGCTAGAAGAAGGCAAATACCTTTCTCTTCAGGCCAGCTTGCAGCCTGGCCCCATCCTTGCTATCCTTCCACAAGAAGGCAAATACCTTTCTCTTCAGACCAGCTTTCTCTTAGTGACTGGCTGTCTGAGAGGGTTTTTTAAATAGATTGTTGTGTCTTGTTGCATTGCATATGTTTTGATGTTGATTTTCTTTACTGTTTTAGCATGGTGTTTGTTTGATTCCTTTGCATACTTACTGTTTTTAGCTTTTAAACATTGTCTTTTACTGATGTAAGCCACCTTGGGTCCTTTTTAAGGAAAATGTGAGGAAATGAAAAAATAATCAGGCTGGTGCTTTTCAGCTTCCAAAGTCAGATGGGATTCCTTTTCATAATATAGGAACCAGCCCACTGGAACCTGCATCTTTGTTTGGGTAAGGGCAGATGATGTGAGGAAATGAATAAATAATCAGGGCTGGTGCTTTTTAGCTTCCAAAGTCAGATGGAATTCCTTTTCGTAATATAGGAACCAGCCCACTGGGACCTGCATCTTTGTTTGGGTAAGGGCAGATGCAGTCTAAAAACAGAGCTCATGGCTCTGGAATGGGAAAATCTGCTCATCCAGATCTGCTCCCACCATCACCTCTAGCCAGCACAGCAAATTGATTAGTGAGAGGTTGTGTTGTGACTAGTACTGTGATTCACCATGACTTTCTCTTCATTATAACATTGTACACTTGGTGGTAAACCTGGGGTTGTTGCTTTGAAATGTGTGAAAGAATTTTGTATTGCCATTTAACTAGGCAGGGTGTGAAATCTCCCTTGGCATTTCAAATTATCTGATATATGGTTCCATGTTCAAAAGAAACATTTGAAAGTAACTACTTGTTACTCATTGCAACTTAGGTGTTATTGGTTATACTGAAAAGTAATTTTGTTAACATTAGTTACATTGCTTAGTCCCCAAAAGTAACTAGTTTAAGTTAACCATATTATTTGTAACTAGTAAATTCCAAGCTGTGTTTAAAACTGTCTCAGCCTCTTGTGGCTCTTGTACTGAGCAAGGAGAGGACCTAGCCTGAAACAGGGGGAATCACCTCCATTGTCCAGCCCATGAACTGCCCATTATCTTAATAAAGTATTAATTTTTAGCAAATCACTGTTATAAACAGAAAGGGTTTAAGCAGTTTATTCCACAGGTATTCATACGTACTGGCCAATATTCAACACAACCCTTAAGCATCTTGATGAGGAACTGAGAAGTACATTTATCAAATTTATAAACATTTGGAAGAACTGCTAATACCATTAAAAATCCGAGATGGTCTTGAAAGAGTCAAACATCAAGGGGCACTTTTTAAGCTCTAATTGGGAAGCAGAGATGGTGATTTGAAAAAGCTGTAATGAAAAATGCATATCTAATCTATTTTTCTTTTGCTTTTCCTTAGACACTTGGTGTTCCTATCTAGCTGTGGAAAAAGGCATATACAGATGCAAGCAATATTGACCAGGCCTGCTTATTGTTTTTAGAATTAGAAGAGAGATTTATTGTCTTATGTTTGACATTTTTAAAGAAAAAACATCTAGCTCTTACTAAAGAAAATGTCTTGCCTTTAATATGTAAGGACATAGAACATCAGACCCTATTGCCATAGCGTCCCATTTGAGTTTAATGCTGTTTTCAGGAATATATGTGGAAACATACAACAAACTGCAGTGCTCAAGTTCCATATGAAACTGTACTTACAATGAGTCTACCCATAGTATTGTTTGTTGAGATTAGGAGTGGCTTTCACTAGGCATAAATCTGTTCCATGTCTGCTAGTAGGGATTATATGTACGGAATGCTATGGAAAGTGGACCCATGATCTCCTCTCAAACACACCAGTGTTCTTTGCCATTGAGTTAAGCTCTCTTATTACAGTTGAATGACAGATGTTTTAGGCTAGGAGTTTTGTAATATGAATCAAGAACACAGAAACTAAACTATGCATTTAAATGGTGCAAACAGGGAGAGAATTCTGATCGAAGTTTGGGAAAATTACTTTTAGAATTACAAACTTCATTACCCATGCCAGCTGGGGAACTGGACCTGTTTATTTTGGGGATTCTGGAAGTTGTAGTCAAATAGCAGGCTTGCTGAAAAACAGGAGAAAGATAATCAGGTTTGCAGAAATATATGGATACCTTCCCCTCATTGTTCTTTAAATACATGGATTACCTCTCCAGTTATAGGGGAAAAGGCATAACGTCATGCAAACAACACTGAAAAGTATTGAAGAATGTGATTTTTATGGGTACTGTTTTGAGAATTAGCTCATCAAAAACCTAACAATGTACATACATACATACATGTTTGAGAACATGAATATGGAGGAAGGATCCCCTTAAACAGTACAATAAGAACAGAGAGGGTGTTTGGTGGACACAGACTGAAATCCAGTTGCAAGGCATAATTAGATTAGGCCCATTTCATCAGTGGGGATCTGGTGAGCTAATTTGTCTATTAGTAGGTCTGCTCTATTTGGAACTCCATACCATTCAGCCACAGAATATTCTATAGGAATTGCTAAATAGAAACAGACTTTGAGTAGGGGAAGGCAAAGAGAGTAAAATGGAGTGTTCTGGAAGAGAGCATCATTGGCTAACTAATTGGCACACTCAACAGGAGCATCAGTAAAACTTGCAAACATCTATCCGAAGGGGCTTGCATCAACATAAATCTGAACAAAACTTGCAAAAGTTTCCCTCTCTCTTTTGGACTATAGACCCATCCAAATAGCCATTGGATATATAATCCAAAAAAACCATGTTTCCAAGCTTAGTCTATGAGGCATATTTAGAGACTCTTGTGTAGGAAGGACGGGCCTGTAGGAATTTTGTGAATGTTTTAAAGACTTAGAGATGGGGATGAACTGCTGAACCAGGTTTCGTATCCATCTTTAATAAGATCTGTCACTTTGAGAACTGCTAGGTAGCTCAGTTTTAGGACTCTGGCTGCAGAGCCAGAGGTGGGGAGTTCGATTCTCCATTGGGCCTCCTTGAGAGCCACTGAACTTGATGATCCATAGGGTCCCTTCCATCTCTGCAGTTCTAAGATTTTTATTATTATGATGACGGTTCATAGGAGACGTCTATGCATCATTGCCTCTAATGATACTGTTGGTTAAATTCTTCCTTACAAACAAATCAACTTCCTCTCAAAATATTTACTATGTAAATTATTGTGGCTCTTTTCAGCTATGCTTTTCAATAAAATATTTGAAAAATACTAACTGAGCATAGAGTGATTATGTGCTTGGGCATATGGTGTGTGACAATTCATTAGAATGGTCAATTAATAGTAATTGCAGCTACCAATGTTATTTTGTTGGCAAACTAGAGCATCTGCCCAGAGCATATGCTTACTGGATTTTGTAACAGGGCCAGCCCAGGATATTTTGCCGCCTAAGGTAGAACACCCAATGGCATTCCCCTTCTGCTAGTGAATGTGCACAGTGCTCAAGGCTGGCCGAGTGATTCAGTGCCCGAGCTCTGTGTGTGACGGTGGCAAATTGCCACTGATTTAAAGGTGATTTCAGGATGCACATGACTCATGCGCACTGCAGCATAGTCACGTGCACCCCAGAATTGCCAAAGGAAGGATTTAATCAGCGGTGATTTGTCTCTGCTGATAACATCACTATCGTTGTGCACACGGTACTATGCAAGAGGATTCAGCCAGATTCTGAAGCAGAAATCTCACATTTGGGAATGAAAACATAATAAATCCAGCAAAATAATAATAATAAAAATGATGAATGAAAAAGGTTCTGCCCTTTCTTGACATTACAGATCAGCCACCTGAGGCAGCTGCTTCACCCTGCCCAAAGCAAAATAATTCTCTGAAGCACTCATGTTTCTGGCCAGCCCACTGACTTTCTGCATATAAACTGATTATATTTACAAGCAATTAAATGGGACTTGGTAGGCAAACATGTCAAAGCTACAGATCCTTTTACTTAGAAAGGCTGATTGGCTTGCAGCGTTGACATTGCTTTACTTATTGTGAGGCATAAAAAGAAATTAACCATAACATTTCATCTTAAACATTTTTTCTTTTTCTTTTCTTTTTATTTATTTTCTTGCCTTGCCTTGCCTCTTGCTTGCTTTCTGATCTTGAAAAGTTATAAAGGCAGGTTTTTAAAACTGGCTGATCTTAACAAGGGCTGGTCCAACATCTTATTGTGTCAGGCAAAAAACAAGATGACAGACCCTTGCATGTACTGAAGAGTCCACGACCTGGTTAATGGGACAGGTGTCATCCATCACACCTGAAGGGAACAGGCTACTTTAGAAGGTGCAGAGGAGACTGTGTGGCATCCAGAAAACTGCCATCCAGGAGAGGGTAATGACTGGAAGCTGCTAATTCTCCACCACTTTTTGTTGTTAAGGCACCTGCCTTAGCTGCTAATTCTCCATCACTTTTTGTTGTTAAGGCACCTGCCTTATTCTGCCTAATGGTAGGGTCAGCTCTGCCGATTATTCTCAGCCTGTGATATTTTCCCCTGTTTTTGCAATTGAAAGTAACTGTGATGATCCCAGAAATTTTGTAACTAAAACTGTACAGCAGACATAATGGATTAGGAAATGGCCGTGTGGTTGATTAGACAAATGGAAGAGTAAAGCAATATCTTTTTGAACCATTAAAAAAAGAGAAGAAAATCAAATTGCAAGCTTTTGTGGGTAAAATCCCAAGAGTAAAGCAATATCTTTTTGAACCACTAAAAAAAGAGAAGAAAATTAAATTGCAAGCTTTCGTGGGTAAAATCCCACTTCCTCAGGCTGATAACCACCCCTTTACGGATAGTGCAGAAAAAATGTGGGTAAGAATCCCAAAAAATCATGGCAGATGTCCATGCTGAGTCTGCTTATATGAGGCGAGTTCATAGAATCATAAATAATGGAGCTGGATGGAGCCTACCGTATTTCCCCGAAAATAAGACAGGGTCTTATATTAATTTTTGCTCCAAAAAACGCATTAGGGCTTATTTTCGGGGGCGGGCGGGGTATTTTCTTCATGTACAACAATCTACGTTTATTCAAATACAGTCACGTCATCTTCTTCTGGTTGTGCACAATGGTGGAGGGCAGGCTTTCACTTAGTTGGGGCTTATTTTTGGGGTAGGGCATATATTATGAGCATCCAGAAAATCCTACTAGGGCTTATTTTCAGGTTAGGTATTATTTTTGGGAAAACGGTATAAGGTCATCAAGTCCACTCACCTGCCCCCACCCCTGCACAGTGCAGGAATCCAAATCAAAGCAGATTTGACAGATGGTTGTCCCGTTTTCTCTTGAGTGCTTCTGGCATTGGAGCGCTCACCACCTCCTGAGGTAACTGGTTCCATTGTCACATTGCTCTAACAGTTAAGATTTTTTCCTGGTATTCAGCATAAAACCAGTTTCCTGTAGTTTGAGCCCAATATTATGTGTCCTGCACTCTGGGATGACTAAGAACAGATCCTTTTCCTCCCCTGTATATTTGAAAAGTGCTATCCTATCTCCTCTCAGTCTTCTTTTCTCAAGGTTAAGCATGCCCATTTCTTTGAACTTTTCCTTATAGGGCTTAGGTTGTAAAGTCAGCTCGGGTGTGTGGTTGAAGCACCATCCCCTGTGGTGTGGTTGGAATTGTCCACGGAATGAGTAAAGTGTGGCATTCCAAGTGTTGTTGAAATGCATTGCCTAGCATTCCTCACCATTGGCTACGCTGGCGAAGACTGATGGGATTTACAGTCTACCAAAACCTGAACTAAAAGTCAATGGAATCAATAACAAATTTGTCTCATGGCACCTTAAGGACTAACAGGTTGTTGTTTTTCTGCAGACGCTTTTTGTGGATTGCGGCCCACTTTGTAAAGCCAACAGCATAGTAATCTGATTTCACCGTGTGCCTTCCACCATGCACATGACCGAAGGCGAAGGTTACAAAAGCAATGCTTTTTACAGTGGTACCTTGACTTACAAACGTCTCCACTTGCGAATGATTCGAGTTATGAATGGCTCCATTTGCAAAAAGTTGCTTTGACTTGCGAACGGAGCCTCGACTTACAAACGAAAATAAATAAATTTAAAAAAAAACCTTTCCTGCCCTTTTTTTTAAATAAATAAATAAACCTTTCCTGCCCTTTTTTTGACCTAAGTTCATCTTAGGTAAAATAAAAAAATAAAAAAAATTCTTCCCCTAGTGGTAGGGTACGGATTAACCATCTTTGCATTCGTTCCTATGGGAACTAACGCCTCTACCTACGAACAGCGCCTCGACATACGAACAGCCTGAATGGATTAAATGGTTTTCAATGCATTCCTATGGAAAAGTTTGCCTCGATTTACGAACTTTTCGACGTACGAACGCCGTTCCAATACGGATTAAGTTCGTAAGTCAAGGTACCACTGTATTACAACATTTTGCTTATACAACATCTTGGTTCTTTCCCAGGCCACTTGAGGCTGAACTGCAGAGAAATACACAATTTGACCTACAGCATAACCCAGGTCCAACCTGGATAAAATATGGCTCAAAACTGTAGCACACCATTCACCCTAAGCTCGATCTATCACTTTTTAACTTTCATTAAGCCCTAGCTCAGTCAAAATTAAAGGCAAGTAGGCTAACAATGGTTTATAAAGCAGATTACATTTTTATGAGGTCCTGAGATCAGGATTGAAATAATCATCAAAAGGAAGCCAGCCAAGACGGTGTCTTTGAGGGACCAAATTAAATTGGCCTTGATGGTATAAGCTTATAAATGGAAACAACGTATGTTATGTGTGTGCTGCTGCTGACACAGTTACAGGTCACACGTACATTTTTGGCTTGCATTAGACCCAAACTGTGTCCATGTCGGCTCTCCTCCTTCATCCTCTGGAACATTTTGTTTTGTTTGATTCCTCCTGCTGACAAGTGAGAGCTGACATCATTGTACCATGTGAATGTGGGGCATGTCTGGGCAGTCCATAACAATGATGTTGACCCGCTGCAGGAGTGTATGCATGCCTGCTGTTAAGAGGATGGTGAGCACCTCAATGGCAGAGCACATGCTCTGCTTTCAAAAGAAACCAAGTTGAGTCCCTGCCATCTCCAGTTCAAAGGATCCAGTCAACAAGTCTTACCTGCTTATCCCTGTGAAGATGAGCAGCAACAAAATGACCACCTCAACCTTCCCTTCCTCGTGTCCACTGGAGCAGGTCAAGGCCCATGTTGCCAGAGGTTGAGCCAAGAACATCATGTTTACTATTCTGGCTCTTCCCTTGCAAAGCAGAAGTGACTTAACAATAAATTAAAATGAATAATCATGTTCTACCTTACTTGAAAAGGCTGAGTGCTGTCAGATGCAGCTCAGTGTTGGTCTGCTCTGTACCATACCGCTGAAGTAGCATTGGTTTTGTGTACAGTGGTGCCTCGCTAGACCATTATAATCCATTCCACTGAAATAGCTGTTTAGCGAAATCATTGTCTAGCGAAAAGCATTTCCCCATTGGAATGCATTGAAACCTGTTTAATGCATTCCAATGGGGAAGAATCATCATTGTCTAGCGAAGATCAGCCACAGGAAAGCCGCTTTGCGAACCGCCGATCAGCTGTTTAAATCGCTGTCTCGTGAAGCTTAGGTCCCAAAAACACCTGTTTTGCGAGTGCGGAGGGCGCTGTCAAAATCATTGTCTAGCGAAAATCGGTTTGCGAAGCAGGGACCAAACATTGTCCAGCGAAATTTCCCCATAGG